CTGTCACATCCACTCCTCTCTTGCAAGGCTTAATGTCCTGCTCTTGGGCCAGCCCCTTTGGATGTCTGAGCTGCTCCCATATTGGACACTGCTTGGACAGCCCCAGGAAGCTGGTCCCAGGCACTAGCCCGGAGCAGCAGGAGCATCTGCAGGAATACCCCTTCCTTGGCACCTATATTTTAGGGGTATTTTTAGTGAGTCATGGACAGAACACAGGCTGCTACTTTTTTATTGCCATGACCTCTCCATGACTTTCACTAAATCACAAGACGCCAAGAGAAACCTGGCAGTTTTCTTAGAAAGTTTGTTCCTGTAGTTAGTCATCTAAAAATCTAAGTTAACTTTGAATGTCTGGCTTCATCAAGACAGTCCTATAGTACTTGTTGTTTTCTTTTCAGGGAAGTGTGGTTAAGCATAGCTCCCCTACAGCCTTTCCAGAGTATACTGTTTACCATTCTGTATCACAGGACTCAAGTTTCAGTAAAACACAGTTGGTAAGATTTTCAAAACCAAGAGGCATTAAAGAGTCTAAGTTGAAAATTTCAAAGATAAAAATGGCAGCTTAATTCCCATTGAAATTAACAGTAATAGGCCTAACCACCATTTCCATTTTTGAAATATTCTCCCCTGAAGTGTCATTGAAAGGGTGTTTGCATCCATCATTTTAAATCAATAGGGACTACGCAAATGCGAAAATTGCATCCTTTGATTTTCCAATAAAATAGACACTTGCACATAAATCCCAGGTTTCATTACAAAACTTTATTAAAAAGATTCACCTTACTCTTCACTTTTAAGTGCAGACCTTCCTCAATTAAAAAAGCTTTTGTACAATAATCTAGAGCTGGTTAATCTGAGTCATAATACAAGTAGAAATGGAGTTTAAACTGGCAGACTAAATCTGCAATTAGGAAAGCTTGGGTAGTGGTTATCACTCAAAATTTGGGAATATACTCTAGGTTGCTACATTATTTAAATTATCAATTTTTCATCTATATAAAAACTCAGTACATTAGTTACATAATGGTATTGCTTAATGTGACTCTGGCCTTCTGATACGTTTCTTGGATTGACCTGAGAAAGGAGTCAAGCACTTCTTTTATTCCCAGAAGTCTCTTAAAGGATCTGGTGTTCAAGGAGTCTTTTTGGCTCGTAGTTTTTCCAATGTTTTCTGTAAGCAAAAACAGATGCTTAAGTATCTAGCAAATTGATTTAGATTTGAAGTTCCTAAATAACAGTTGTATGAATAAGTTAAAAGCTTAATAGGGAAGGCATTAAGATTCAATGCAGTATTGAATACATGCCACTACAGCAGATTGGATTAGGCAGACAATGAGATATTTAAAAAATGGTATTCAGAATGCTCAAATACATCAGTGTATATTGGCACCAGGCAATATTATGTAAATAATGGAACAAGCACAGTAAATATTATTATTATTCCCCATTCCAGAAAGTCAGGAAGTAGATGCTCTAATGGGCAATAATTTTCATTGGGGGCCACTCTAAGATTTTGATAAGTGATCAAGGGCTGCAGTTCTATGGAGGACGTGGGGGTCAGGGATGGTGGATGGGGTGTAGGAGAGGGAGTTATGATTAAAGATGTTAAAGACTAGTCGACTATCCGATAAGCAAATGCTTATCGGATAGTCAGTCAACTAATTAACCCCCCAGCAGCAAAGGAGGGGGGGGAAGAGTGGGCACTTCAAAGGGCAGCGCCACACTGCTGCGGCACTGCCCCCTGGTTCAGCTGTGAGGTGCTGCCCCTTTTTGCATTTTGAAGAGGCAGCGCCACCTGGAGCCAGGGGTCAGCTGGTCTGTTGTGCATAGTATCCCTGAGCTGTCCAAATCAAAAACCACAACACATCACTTTACACTTGCAATTCTATTTTTTACTTTTGTTAAGAAAAAATAACATGATTACATGGTCTGGTCTCAGCCTGGACTAAAGCCAATTAATAGTAAGGCCAGTGCCAGAAAACATGTTCTGAAGGCACAGAGGTTCCTGGAATGCACAGGTTACTCTTTGCTAGTTTTCATGCCTTGGAAAACGTGGGGCATTCATCTTCCACCATTTCAGTGGACTGCATTCCAATGAAGGGCAAAGCTCCCTGAAGTAATTATCTAGTTCATTTTCCACAGTATTGTCCTCATCAGTATCCTTTTCAGTGTAACCTTCACCTAGAAAAGTGGTTCCCAAACTTTTCGGCATCACGCCCCCTTTTTGAAAAACCCTCAGACACCCCCCACCCCCCCAGCACAGCAGGGAGAAAAAAAAGGAACTGACTGGGGCAGCAAAACTTGATGGGGGAGGGTGGGCTGGGTTGCATTGCCCCTCCCCCCAGGGGGGCACGCCCCTCAGTTTGGGAACCCATGACTTGGAAGCATCAGCATGCCACTTGTCTTTTTCTTTGGCGCTGGCTTTGTTGGCTGATCTGGCTCAGCACCTCTCAGTTCAGCCCCAACACTTGGAAGTTCCTCTGTTTCCAGTCCTAATGCAAGTTCAAACTTTGCCTTGGTAGCATCCTCGACAGCAGATGAAAGAAACTGCATGTACTTATGGCATGGTCCTAACAAGGAGGCAATAAGTGCCAGTTAGGCAGTTATGTTAGGGTCACTGGGTGTCATGCAAAGCTCCAGAGAGGGACCAACATCATTTCTGAAGGTATTGACAATTTTATTCTCAGAAACAGAATCACTTTTCAGGTGAGTGTGGAGAAGACTGTTGCAAATTGTGTAAATATTTGAAATTGACTCTGTTCAGCAGACATGACAGTCATGTAGTAAGATGAAGGCCTAAAACAAAGCAGGCTGGCCCCTGCTTATAGAACGTAGCATGAACAGGGCTGAGAGCAAAACACCAATTGGTCCAGGTATAGAACAGGAATTGGTACTGGTCATAACTTGAAAGTATGACTTGGTACCACCAGCTCTCAAGTTTGGTACTTATCAAACAACTTATCAAACTTGGCTACTTTTGGGTGACCTTTCACTAGAATGACAATCGGCTAACTCAAAAGCCATGCTCCTACCAAATTGAGTCCCTACTCTAAAATCACGAAGCTACTCGAACTTCTTAAAGAAAAGGTAACTAGGGTTTTAACATGTCAAAATGATATTTTCCTCTAGTCTCATTCTCAGAAACAGCTGAAAGGTTTTGACTGACAAGTTAATTTTTTTTTTGTTTAGCAAGAGGGTTACACCAGAAAATGAACAATTTCAGCCAAACAGTTATTATAAGCAATTGAAAATGGGTGTCTTATAATAGAAAATCTCAGACAACCTTAACTGATGGTACTACCAACTATGCTTACAATATTTTCAAAAGTTGCTGCAAGTAGTTATTCAAAACGTAAGATCCAAATCTTCAGATGAACTCCAGTTTTTAGCAATACTATGTAGATAGCAGGCTCATCAAAAAAAGGGACTGCACAGATTAGATTGTTCAGTACAATTAGAACTGCTCAAAACAACAGGCATTAAAATAGGGAAATGCTAGGCCAAGAGGTTGAAGATACTTTACCACATGCAGTTACCTTTTGAAACTCTTTGGCCTTTTCCCTGTTTTTAGCATAGGTTTCTTGTCTTGATTTCTCTTCCTTTCTGCTTTTCACTTCAGCTAGTTGATTATAAAGTCTGCCAAACAATAAAAAATGTGTTTATTTCAATTGTAACAACTCAAACAGACCACAGAAAGGGAAAAAGAGTTTGACACTGACTATGTCAAAACTCTTTTCACTAACTTTAACAGAAATAATTTATAATTACGGATAGCGAATGAGCTCAGATGCAGCAACAGTTAGGTCTTGGCCTAACTTTCCCTAGCACGAGAGTTGTTTTGCCATTTTTTTCCCTCTTACATAGATCAGATTAAATAAAGCTACTGCTAGCTAGATAAAAGGTTATGTTTTGTTCATGGAATATGTTGCATTAGATTTTTGGTACAAGGAAAAGTTAGTGTAATAAACGTACAGCCTTGTAATGCTAAAAGTAATGTTTACTGGGAAAATTAAGGACCACATGACAACTGTATAAACAGAAAAAGTTGTGTAAATTGAAGCTTACACATGCATACTGTGTGCATTACAGAACAGTGGCATAGCCAGATTGGGACAGGAAGGTGGGCAATGATGTCGGGGGGAGGGAGGGGGAGAGAGGGAGGGAGGAAATAAGAGTGA